CCCCAGCCAGCCATGCTGGGAGTTGAAGTCCACTCATCTTAAAGTGGCCAAGTTTGGACAACACTGACTTAGGCACTGCCCCATGGAAGGAGAAAACACGTGGAAATGAGTTTTTGATCCTCCAAACTGAAATGTCCCCGGGGAGGGGGGTGATTTTCATTGGCTTTGCTTGTGAAGCAAATATGGAGATCTGCTTCTGAGAGAGAAAGTTAGGAGAAGATGGCTGAAGTGTAGGAGCTCCAGTTTGCCTGGAATGCAGGAGGCCTGAAAGACCTTCCAGATTTGCTCTTCCTACCCACCCATTTCCGGCTGAGGCTCGATAGAACTGCCTTCTGCTTCACAGATGGATACTGATGGAAGAATGAGATTTGCTGAAATTTGTATTCAGATCTTGAAGGAATATTTTGGAATAAAGTAGGAAGGGTTTGTTCTCTGGCCTGCTTATTCTCTCCTAGCTTCCTTTCTGAAATATACATGCCCTTGAGGGCTGCTGACAATATTGGGTGACCAGAAACGAGCTCAACCGTTTCATCACCAAAACTCAGCCTTGGCTTTCTGTTTTTTGGAGGGTGAAGTCCTTTATTATCAGGCTTCTGGGTTTGGTTTCTGGTCCCCCGTTCTGTACCAGCTCAGACATCAGGAGGGCTCTGACACGACTTAGATGGTCCTAACTATGAAATCCTTGGATATGTTTATTCTTCTGAGCTACTGCCTGCGCTGCTTGGTGCTCAATATGCTGCTCGTTCTCATTCGTTCCGTTGCTGGAAAACGTTTGCAGATGGGATGATTCCCTTGGCCTGGGCCGGGTGGGCTTCACGGGGCCATTCCTGCTGCCTGGAATGAGAAATTGCCCTCTCCCTTCCTGGCATCTAGCTTGCTTTGGCCGGAGAAGGAGAAGGAGAGCGTCTCTGGCCCTGAGAAGGCTGCATGCGTTGCCTGGTCTTGCACGCCTGCCCAGAACCGACAAGGCTGTCATTACTGCAGTGCAGAGTTGACACCGAGAACGGCCTCCCCCTCCTCCCGGCCTCTCTCGCATTCAGCCTGGCTTTGGGAGAGATGCGTGTGGCTTGCTGGCAGCATTCCTGACCATCGTGATTCAGTCTCCCACCGCCGCTGCTCCAGACTCTTCAGAGAGGCAGCCAGGCCTCAATGGCAGCCCCTGGCTGACGCAGGGCCTCTGCACGTGTGTTGGGGAGAGTGTTTGCTTTGTCTCTGCAGAAGGATGTGACCCAGTGCCTGTTTGTTTGCAATAGCTGAGACCATCCTAAGAGAGCAAGAGGCAGGGCCAGTCGAAGGAAGTACCTGCAGGAGAACTTGGGAGCTGTGACTGCGCCTCCTCCTTCCTCCTCCCGTTGCCGGAGTGAGTGAGGGAAAGAAGCAAGCGAGAGAGAGAGAGAGAGACTGATTCTGAGCCTGACAGCCAAGGATGTGTCAGTCAAGCGCCTTGCAGGGACCAGAGCTGCACTCAGGGAAATGGTGAGATGCTGCAAAGCTTTATCTAACCCTCCTCCCTCTTGCTGCAACCTCCACAAAGTTAAAATTCATGTCCGGAGGCTGCGTTCAGGAAACAGTGGTGGCAGCGGCAGCTGTGCCAGGGAGCAGCATCCGCAGCTGGAAAGTGCGGCCCCAGCTGGGAGCACCCCAAATAGGAAGGTCCGTTTCAGGTACTGTCTGGCGTATCTTTTGCTTTGTGGGAGGGAGGGGGGGAGAGGAGACTGGCAGGTGTCCACAAAGCCTTTGTTTGGCCTAATTACTGTGATAAAGCTCTTGATTCACTTGACTGGCCCAGGAAGGAGGGGCACGGCACGTCTGTCAAGCCCTTTGAGGAGTGGAACCAGAGGGGCTTGTCCTCACCTGGGGATTAAGGTGGGACCCTTTGGAAACAAGGCCCTGCATTGCGAGCGTGGCTCCTTTTGCAGACAGCTATCAAGCCGCCACTCTGCAGGGATTGGCTGTGATTGTCTGCAGTGAAAGGGGGAAAGATGGAGCCATAAAGCCAGCGTGATGCCATGCCTCTCAGCTCTTGCCATTGTCTTCTGTCTAGCCAGCTTTTGGGGGGCCTGAAAGAGCCGGAGGGTGAGCAGCACGCAGGAGCTCCCTTTTAGCTTCCCTTCGCTTAAGAGCCTAAACTCTTTCGGCTCCACTGAAACACAGCTGCCCCTTCTGGGGCTATGGACTGTGAGTGGGGATATTGCTTGACTCCTCAGGGACCCAAAGGACCTGCTCCAGATTTTATTCTTGGGACAGATCCCTGCTCTGCCAGGAACTTTCCAGAAGTTTTTTCTCCTGAAGGAGTTATCTTCTCCTTGATACTGGTGGTCTTTGCACACTCGCCCTATGTGGGCAACTGAGCCAGCCGTTGAGGCTTGAAATCCAAGTCCGCAGCCAGTTTTGCTTCTAATAATGCAGCTAACGTATGCTAGGAGAAAAGTGAACGCTGTCTTCCCAGATAAAATAAAAACGAACAACTGGGTGGGATTTGCTGGTGGTATTCTTTGTTTTGACCAATTTAAAGTCCATCTAGCCTTTGTTCCTTTTTGTTATGAAGAGTCCGATCCAGAAAGGGGACAGGTCAGCTTTAGGAAAGATGTTTCAGGAGCTGCGTGTGAGTCAGGATGCAGCGCTGTCCTGGCTCAAAGCAGTCCTGTTAGTAGTCCCTACAGGCTGACTTAATACCTCAGTTCCTTTTCTCTGTTGGAACATGTTGCCTGCTGAGAGCAAGCAGATGCCTGAATCTTGCTGGTTTCCTTGTGGGCTTTATGGGACCCACCTGGTCCTGTGCTGGTCTTGCTGCAACATGGCTCTTTACAGTGCTAGCAACTTGTAGGATATCTCCAATGAAGTTTTCAGCTCTTGAGGGGAAACGAGACAAAGTCCATGCCCTTGTACTATGTGCCAGCAACTACAGAATGTTCCACCATTATTTCCCGCAAAGGCCAACAGGAATATGAGTTCTTGAAAAATAACAGGGAAGAGGCTTTGACTCAACCTGCAGTGGAGTAGGTGAAATTCTCCAGGAAGCAGGACTTAGCGTTTCCTGTACCGCACTGTCTTGCAGCTCTGTTTTTACTGTGGACAGTAGTAAAACCGTCCTTCTGGGATATATTTGGAGGGGTTTCTATTGTCTTTCCCACCCAGTACTGTTTCCTGCTTCTGGACTGTACAGGAGCTTCCCTGAGGGCAAGACCATCTGAAACATCAAGAACGTCTGTGACAGAGCAAAACGGGCTGCTGTGCTTTGCTGGGGTTAGGCCAAATTTGTTTCTGATGGGAGCTGCCCTGTTATTTGGGAAAACCTCAGGAGGCAAAAGAGAGCCCCCTTGACACCAGGTTGGCTGACCATCTTGTGTGTCTGTAATCCTACAGGTTGCAATTTCCCCAGCTGGCCCTGAGGCGAAGGTTGGGCCAGCTGAGCTGTATGTCTAGGCCTGCTCTGAAACTCCGTTCTTGGCCTCTGACTATTCTCTATTATCTCCTGCCTTTCGGTGCTCTTAAACCCTTGACCAGAGTGAGATGGAGACCTGTGAGCAGGGTAAGTGCTTGCGGGTTTGTCTTGTGCTTGTGGTGCCCCATTGCTGTGGGGGAGGGAGGTGACTCTTGGTAGGCCACAGAAGCTGAAATGGGGATGGCAGGTGAAGGGCAAGGATGCCAGAGGAAGCTGTCTCTTCCTTTTCCCTCGCACCTGGTCCTGGTCCTGCCTCTGTTAGGTCTTTGCAGAAGGGACATGCACGCCTAACCCTCCAGTGAATGCTTCTGCCTGGAAATGTTGTGTTAACTATGGGGACAGCGGGAGAGAAAGTAATGGCAGCCTCTGCTCCTTGTCATGGGAAGCTAGAGAAGGCTGGCTCCTATGTCTTTAGGCTGCTTAGAAGTGCACTGCAGAGAAGTGAAACTCCTTGGCTTTGGGAGCTGCAGAACATGTCTGTAAAGGGGATCCAGAGGACACTGTACCTTTCTCAGCACTCTTTGGGGCTTTCTTTGTGTGGTCTTACACATGTGAGTGTTACCTGAGAGATGCAGTTCTGCGTCCCTGTGGAGTACCATTGTTCTGAAGGGATTTCTGTAGGGTCAAGGGATTTTTCTGCAGGAGGTTATGGTCACAGCTATTCAGCTTGTTCCATTTAATTAGGTAGTGACACTGGTACTAAGTAAATAATTAGCATGAAAGGCAAATGTGATGGCTGGCCATTGCTCTTGTTTCAGCTGGCTTCCTAAAGCTGCTGCTCTTTCGTTTTCTAATTTCTATCCACCTTAGGATTCTGCCATTCCAACTGTGAAATGGAAAGTAAGACAAGTTTAACAAAAAGAATCATAAGTACTCCAAGAAAGTAAAATGAGGAAATAATGCACAATATAGCAGTTAGCAAACTCCAATACCACATACCAACTTAGATGTTCTAAGCTTTGAGTTTCACATAATCTCACACCTATGTGCATAGTCTTACCCACTTTAGAGTGCAGTGGGGAGGGGGGAAGAGGTTGAGGAAGATATTACACTCTCTGCGTTTGTCTCTTCTTGTTTCGGGGTTGGTGTCATTCATGTGTGAAGACACGTGCTCAAGAGTCTATTACAGGAGTACTCCCTGTTATGTCTGCATGCAGAGATCTGTGAAAAATATCTTCAGGGTGTTCCAGTAGGAGACCTGTGCAAAATATTTTCCAATAGAGGTGAATATGTGTAGCTCAGGGTTGAACTGTGGAGTCCGTGGGGTTCTCTGAGCTTGGTT